CATCTATAGCGATATCAGCTCTATAGCGATAGATATCTAACATCTTTAAAGCGACTCCTTGGGAAAGGTGCTGACCAAGGCATTTAGCACAGCAAAGTATTAATTGGTCAGAACTTATTTGCAGTGGAGAACAGTTCCCCATCAGACCGGAGATGCAATTGTGTGGCTGCATTTTGTGATGGCACATTTGGCATTTTAAAACGCATTCTTTCACCAAAGTGTGTGACGTGTGCAGAGGTTTGTCAGTGTGACTGCAGCACTTCTTTAATGGTTCTGCATCCAAGCCTCGCCACTGATTCACATATATTTTTCAGAGATGCTCAGATTGGCTTCAGTTCTGTAGGTTTTACACACAGAGTTTCCTTTGGAAATGAAATGAGAGCTAAATCTGCAAAAGACCTGAAAAGAAAGTGCTTTTTGATTTCATGCAAAGATGGTTTATTTGTTGTTCCAGTTGTGAACACAGTAGAATCTGACCAAGGAACTGAAAGGTCTAAAACAGATGCCTGTGAACCCAGACATGGTGTGTACAATATGTATTTTTTGTGTAATATTTGACCTTTTATGTATAATAACTGACTGTAGTATAATTAATGCATGCTAACTAGGCCTATTTTTCAGGATGTCTTCAAAGAAATGTCAGTGTTAGCATTGCATTATAGCTATTGCTGTTATTGTTATATAGGCATTGAAAACATTTGTCATGAATTGCATAATGGCTCAGCATTTTTTGAATTGTATATTAAATTCAGATTTATTATAGTATCACATTATGTCAAGGTCATTGTTTTTGAAATGCCACACACACACACGATTGACCACAGATTGTGTTTTTTACAGTAAATATCTGTCATACAGAAAGTGCTGTGCAATCCTGTCATAATTAGCTCTGCTCCAATACATTGGTAATACCACACATAAAACAACAGAAAGAAAAAAGTGCATATGGCATCTAATGGTAAGTTCCTGTGATAGCGTACAACGAAACCTGCTGTGGTAATCCTGTCATATCAGAATTACCTTCTGCTTATTTTTATTGTAAAATATTTGAACAGTTGATGACAGCTTGGCACTAATTCAGATATTATAGTAGCTACTGTAAGATCTGAATTAATGTATGATAAAATGCCAAACTGTCATTAACTGTTCAAATATTTTTATTTTATAGATATAATAATATAATATAATATTATTAAAATATTTTTTATTATGTAAGTCTAGCCTTCGAAAGATCACATTACTGTAATTTATACTATCCTACAGCATTATATCTCTGCCGGTTATGCCACTATTTTGGAAATGCCACACAAAACCAACAAAAATGCCGCAGATTCTTGTAGTAAGTTCTTGGTAAATAGAAAGTTTTATGGTAGTCCTGTCATATTTAGCTCTGCTCAGTACCACAGGATTACCACAGGGGTTGTGTTATTCCTCGTGAAATGTTGAATCTCTGGGATGTTCCAAATGAAAGGGATATAGAACTATTCATGTCTTTATATAACGTTTTTATAAAAGAAATGAATTTATTGCCAAAACCAAATTTTTCGAGGGAGCTAAATATGAAATTATGTCTGATCGTGTCAAATGCCTTTCTAAAATCTAAGAAGAGAATACAGCCATCATCCTCAATACATTCACGATAATCTAAATCAGTGTTTGAACTATACCGTGGACTTTGGGGGAGCCCACTTGCGCCTCTGCGTGCCTCAAAAGAGGGCTTACAATGACTTACAAAGATACATAACAGCTACAAGTGTATGCACTACTTGCTTTATGCAAGCACTATATAGGATAAATCACTATACAGGATTTAGCCTATTATACTTTATCGACACGATTTGATAGGTGAAGCAACAAACAGCCACCCACAAATAGTCTAAGATGGTTTAGATCCTACCTGTCCGATCGCTACCACATTGTTCATTTAAATGGGGAGTCCCGCAGCGCCCCCACACCTTGATGCTCATGACAAGAATAGCATTTATAGTTATCTTTAATAAAGTGAATTAGGTTTAAATCGCCGTCATGCACGAATGAATGATATTTTTGCAATTTTACACATAATAATCCACGATGATCACATTACACAAAACTGAAATTGCACGTCAAAATAACACATTGTCAATATTTTTTGAGACCCCCCAAAATTTCACAAATCCCGTTTTCAGGGGAGCCCATGTCTCATTAAGGGGAGCCGAGCTGCCCCTAGCTCCCCCGTAGTTCACACCCTGGTCTAAATGATCTCAAATCAGTCTGATGTTATTATGTATTGATCTGCCTTGTATAAACCAGACTGTGAGTCACTAATTATTTGATTCATGTTTTTCTTGAGTCTATTGGAAAATATATGAGCTAGAATTTTATAATCACAGTTGAGTAAAGTGATGGGGCGAAGATTATCTATATGTCCCTGGTCTGGGGATAAGAGTAATTAGACTGGAAATATGCATGGTTGCTGCCTAACAACTATTGCATAACAAATAAGTCCAGTTTAAAATACTCCATCTGGTGTACCGTTAAAACTCCTTTTCCTAGATGTCGTGCTAATGTAGGTGTTATATGTGATTGCTGTGGGGCTGAGGAAGAACATGTTGAGCATATTGTGTAACTGCATTTATAGCTACATGTTTTGGATAGATTTGGAAGGCTTCCTTTGCAAATGCCTTGGCATGAAAGTTTACTTTCTGAAAAAGATGTATTTTTTTATTTTAATAGACAAAGATTACCACCAAATGTGGCCTTTATTGTTAATCTTAGTTTGATTATGGGCACATAGCACACACACGGACAGAAATGGGCTCCAGGAGCACCCACGAGCTCTGAAACACTGCCAGGCGCCCGAGGGGAAGTGACGTCATCAGCGCGCGGCGGGTTGGTCGTGTGAGTCGTGCTCAGTTAGGGTCGTGTAGAAGCTCCGTTTGCTGGAAGATGCTGCTAAGCGCGCATTAGATCTCTTCTATCTGTGAGTGACATGTGTGTTTGACGGGAAGAATCGCTCAGACTGAGCTAACCGTTGAGCAGTTAGCCACAGAACACACGCTGTCAGAGTGCTTAGGAGCGTTTGATCAGTATTGCTAAGAGGTGCTTGCGTCCCGACAGCCTGCAGCACTGAACAGCTCGTGCGAGCCGCTCTGCTTCTACTGTACACACTACACACGTTCAACACCAGATAATGGAACACATTGAGTCTTCTTTTCTGGAGAAACAATTATATTTCAGTTTTGGCAAAACTCACTTAAGGAAAATTATTGGCCAGGGTCGGAGAAAATATTGTTTTCCTTTGACATTGGCTTGTATTTTTTAATGTTTTATGCTTAAATGTGCTTCCTTTTGATATGTGTTCCCTGAAACAAGGCTTCTCAGGAAAAGATATCTTAACAGGTAAGTTCACCGCTCCAGTGTCTCTGCTGTGTGTTGCCTGCACCAGCAGTCTTCTGGGGATTTATGACCGCTTCAGGGCGTGTGTATAAACTACAGATTGTGCTTCTGTATTAAGCTGAAGAATAAGAGTGTGTGGTTTGATCTGTCCATTGTGTTGCTGTTCTTCATCACCGGCAGGACAGAGTGATGATGATGATGATGATGGAAGAGAGCACCCCACCAGCCACCCCTCCACTCTCCTCCTCCTCCTCCACAGCGGCTGCCAGCGGTACACACGCACAGACACACACACACAGACACATACAGACGCACAGACACACACACACAGACACATACAGACGCACAGACACACACACACAGACCCATACAGACTAACACGCACAGACACACACACACATACAGATGCACACACACACAGACCCATACAGACACACACACATACAGATGCACACACACGCACAGACATACAGATGCACACACACACAGACCCATACAGACGCACAGACACGCACACACATACAGATACACAGACACAGACACACACACACACACACACACACACACGCACAGACATACAGATGCACAGACACACACATAGACACACACGCATACAGACACTTACAGACAGACGCACAGACACACGCACACACATACGCATACAGACACACACGCATACAGACACTTACGACATGACACGTCCAGTTTATTATTCATTTCTAGCACTAAAATTGTTTTTTGTAATTCTAGCAAAGTTGCAGGATCTTTCTCCTGCCCCAGGCTAACAGACATCGAACAGGCCGAGGTGAAGCCAGGGTCTGGATTTGATGTGCTGCCCCAGTTTGACACTTGCTGGCTGGTTAACGAGCTCCTGCTTAGACCCTCTTTGCCCGAGGCCCGCAGACCTGTCAGTTTGTGAACATGAAACAGCTGAGACACGCTAAAGGTGGAGACAGAATGGGATGGACTTGACTGAAATCTATGCTGCATTTTTGAATGTTTTTGACACATAGCAGAGTCAGACCTGACTTCACAGGTCTATGGCAGGAGACTGGCAGTCCTGAGGTAGCCGCAAATGTCATGTTCCTGCTTTACATTTACAATGAAGCCTCTTCTATCTGCATTATCCTCTCAATTTTAGAGTAGCAGAGGATAGATCTCAACTAGTGCTCGGCCTTCAAAATCAAGGTGTTTGCAACCTAATGCCAAGGAAAATCAGGCTAGTTCCACAAAGAAGTTTTTATCTTCTGGTTCTTTAGAAAACAATCTATGTGGGCTACTGGTGCTATAAAGCTCCCCTAAACCAGATCTATAGGAACTTTAACGTAACATCAAGAACCCTAGTTTTTGTAGGAGCGCTCTGAAGTTGAAAAAAAAAATCTACTCTGAGCAGAAAAGTGGCTGACATCATTCACATTTTTTTCCATTGTTCAGAGGCGGGCCTTCCATTGTGGTTACGGAAGTTTACAGTTGCTTGGAACATTTGGAGACTGCAATATTGGAGGAGAAACTTGTGGTGGCTGTCGAGGGTTACCCGGATTTTTATAATTTTTTTTTTATTTTTTAGTTTCTGCTAATATGACAGTTTGCTTAACAGCAAATCAAAGATTCTAGAGCGCTTGCGCTATAATTCTTGATTCGACTGACAGGGCAGCTGATTCAGTGGTTGGCTATCAACATAAAATTTAGAACTTTTCTAAATTAAAAAAAGTCACCTCGCGTTTTTTAAACCTGAAAAATGTGTTCTGTCTGATCGGGGCCTAGGAGAAACTATATTCTTTACTTTGGAAAAGAACCATTGTAAGTTTTTGATTTTAGATTTATCAGTGCAACAGTGAATAAAGCCAGACGTGTTTCTCCACTCTACCCTCTTACAGTAAGAGGATTTATCAGAGAAATGAAAGAATGCGTATGTTTCTGCCCTTCAAGATGCCCATATTTGAATGAGGAAAGACTCCCTGTTGTGGAATGTAAGAACTGGTGTGTATAAAGGAAGCAGGTCCTCAGAGAAGCCGGGAGTGAGTGGGTAATCAGCTAGCCTGAGCAGTGGGGAGCATTTATCTGTTATTAGAGCAGATTGGATGAAATAATCTTTAGCAGTAAGCTGTATCAAGAGTCTCGGTCAAATCCCCGGGGTAGAGAGAGCCTCCCCGCATGAGTCACTCTAATGCGCTTTTAAACGCTCGCACACTCCTGCACACACTCATAAAATATATGCACTTTAAACACTGTTTTTTTTTTTAAAGCGCCTCTGCATTTATCAACAAACTTTCATGCTTTCGCTGCAAAAACATGCAATACTCGTAAATCATTAAGACAGAGAACAGCAAAATAACCAGCTCTGTGTATAGGGGACTAACACACTAACACGCACAGACACACACACACATACAGATGCACACACACACACACAGACACACACACACACACACACACACACACTGCACACACACGCACAGACACACACACACAGACCCATACAGACTAACACGCGCAGACACACACACACACGCACACACATACAGATGCACACATACCCATACAGACTAACACGCACAGACACACACACACACACACATACAGATGCACACACACGCACAGACACACACGCACAGACACACACACACAGACCCATACAGACTAACACGCACAGACACACACACACAGACACATACAGACGCACAGACACACACACACAGACACATACAGACGCACAGACACACACACACAGACACATACAGACGCACAGACACACACACACAGACACATACAGACGCACAGACACACACACACAGACACATACAGACGCACAGACACACACACACAGACACATACAGACGCACAGACACACACACACAGACACATACAGACGCACAGACACACACACACACACACACACACACACGCACAGACATACAGATGCACAGACACACACATAGACACACACGCATACAGACACTTACAGACAGACGCACAGACACACGCACACACATACGCATACAGACACACACGCATACAGACACTTACAGACACACACGCATGTACACATACAGACACACACACACGCACAGGCACACACATACAGATGCACACACGCACAGACACGCACACACACACACACGCACAGACATACAGATGCACACACATACAGACGCACAGACACACACACACAGACCCATACAGACTAACACGCACAGACACACACACACATACAGATGCACACACACGCACAGACACACACACACACACACACACAGACACACACACACGCACAGACACGCACACACACACACACGCACAGACATACAGATGCACACACATACAGACGCACAGACACACACATAGACACACACACACACGCATACAGACACTTACAGACGCACAGACACACACACACATACGCTTACAGACACACATGCATGTACACATACACACACACGCACAGACACACACGCACAGACACACACGCCCACAGACAC